CCCACCGCGCCGTTCCCAGCTCTGGGAAACACCGACGCTGAGCTGGTGTCCGTCAGGAGCGAGCCCAGCACCAGAGCCATAGCAGGCACCGCTTCCCTGGAGACCAAGGCCACCCCAGTGGGGCTCAGCATGAGGCTGTCCCCCCTGCCAGTTCCCGATGGCCCTGGTGGGCCATCTCTGGGGCCCTCTGCCCACTCCATGGGGTCTCTGCTCCCTCAGACCCCCTCAGCAGGCCCTGGGACCACCATGACAGAGGCAGCCACAGATGGATCCCCTCCAGCCAGATCCAGCGTGGCCACTTCCTTGTCCCTCATGGGTGCTGATGGAGCAAAGCCAGACAGGGCCCCTCGAGCTGCTGCTGCACCAACATCTTCCCTCGGTGCGTATGGGATCAGGACCGGGCCAGCTGCCCATCCGTCCTCCCTTGTCAGCAACACTCCAATTGGTAAAGCAGGGATGGGAACAGCATCGCTGGCCAGTGGCAATGCCACCACAATGCTGTGGGACACCAGAACCACCCCGGCTGTGCCTGATGCATCTCCCAGCCGCAACCAGCCTGGTCCCACTGCAGGCTCAGCATCACCAGGAGCTGGTGTCACCCCTGGACCTGCACCAGCCCCACAGCTCCAGCCTGGGCCCCGAAGTGAGGCAGCTCCAGGGATAGAGACGTGGTCGCCCAGTGCTGCACCAGGCATGGACATGGCTGTGCCAGGCACCCCGGGGATACCTGGAACAGCCAGCAGACCTGTGGCATCGCAAGCAAGCATTGCAAGTGCCACTGCAGGGATGACTCTGGAGGTGTCCCAATCCAGCATCCCCCAAGAGTCAGCAGCAGGTATGTCCCCACTGTCCCCAGCTACCTCACGGCCAGAAACTGGTGCTTCAGGTGATTCCCACCCTGATGGCAGCACTGTGGGGCGAGCGGTGGGGACGGCATCCCTGGAGGTGGGCACGGAGGCCAGTGCAGCGGGACCAGAGCCCAGCCTCACAATCATCACTGCCAGGCCATCACCAGAGCCACCTGCCCAAGGGACTGATGCTCCCAAAACCAGGCCCCCAGCAGATCTGTCTCTCCTGGCTCCCAGGGATGGTCACTTGGCTGTGGCTAACCCCAGTCCAGCGCCAGCCACCCTCCCCAAGGCTGCCACTGGCAAGACCCCCCAGCCCGTGACACCGCTGGCCCCCAAAAAAGCAGCCGTTGAGGGAAGTAGGGGCAGGTCCCAGCTGGCAGGAGATGGCAGCACCATGCAGGCAGCTCTGGGCTCAACCCCAGTTGACAACACAAGGGTGGGTGCCGTGACAGGTACCCCCCACAGCGGTGACACCACCCTGGGGACAGCACCACCAGCGTCACCCCTCACCACAGCCACTGTCACTGCTTGGCCAAGCGCAGCTGCATTGGACCACAGCTATCGCACAGCTGAGCCCACCATGGAGGCGGACACAGGCATGGATTTGGACATGGACATGGGCATGGATTTGGACATGGACATGGCTTCTCCCACCACAGGGAACAGGGCTGTGGGGCTGCCCCTGGGGTTGCCCACTCCGATGGCTGGCATGGCTGGGCCAGGCACCGGTGATGCCACCCCATCAGCACATCCTGCCCCGATCAGCAAAAGCCTTGCAGCAGTGGCCGTTGTGGGCATGGTGTTACCCACAGCTCCGAAACTGGTCATAGCATCTTCCTCTGGCCTCGCTCACAGGACTGCTGAGCCAGATGTCAGTGTGTCCCCTCCTGTTCCCGAGAACACCCATCTGGTGGTTGTGGTACCTTCCATCACCCCCAGCATCACCGTCACTGGTCCAGCAGCAGGAAGAGATGGTGCCAGTCTCAACAGGGTCACAACTGCTGTCCCCAGCAGTGCCTCCACTCCACGCAGCCCCCCT